GCCAGCCACTGCTCATGCGCAGGAGATCGTCACGCGCCCAGTCGCCACAGCCGCCGCGCTCCGAGTACGTGCCCCTGCTCATGAGGGTTGGCACCCTCGGCGCCTGCGAGCCGTGGTGCCTCTTCAGCAGCGCGGCCGCCTCCTGCAGGCGCAGCCGCTGTCTCGCCGTCGGCGCCCCCTGCCAGGCGCGCAGCAGGGTCCGCGCCGCCGCTATCCGGCGCCCGCATGCGCCGATGCCGCGCCAGATGGGGGGCTTGCGGCAGCCTGTCTGCCCCCGGGCGCTGGGGCCAAAACTACGACGACGACGGCGACGACGCCGACGACGACCACGACGACGACGACGCCGGCAACGACGACGACGACGACCACGACGCCGACGACGACGACGACGACGACCACGACGATAGCGACCACGACGACGACGATAGCGACCACGACGACGACGATTAACGACCAAAACGACGACGGCCACGGCGAAGGCGACGACGACGACCACGACGACGACGGCGACGTCCACGTCGGCGACGACGACGACGGCGACCACGACGACGCCGACGACGACGACGACCACCACGACAACGACGACGACCACGACGACGACGACCACGACGACCACGACGACCACGACGACGACGACGACGACGGCGACGACGACGACGACGACCACGACGGCGACGTTTAACGACCACGACGACGACGACCACGACGACGACGGAGACAACCACGACGGCGCCGACGACGACGACGACCACGACGATGACGATGACGATGACCACGACGACGACGATCACGGCGACGACGACGACCACGACGAAAAAGACGACGACCACGACGGCGACGACGACGACGACGGCCATGACGATGTCTACGACCACGACGACGACGACGACGACCACGATGACGACGACGACGACGACCACGACGACGAGGACGATCTCGACGACGACGATAGCGATCACGACGACGACGATAACGACGATGACGATTTATGACTACGACGACGACTACGACGGCGATCACGACGACGACGATGACCACGACGACGGCGACGACCACGACGGTGACGACGACGACGACGACCACGGCGACGACGACCACGACGACGACGACGACGTCGACGACAACGACGACGACCACGACGACGACGACAGCGACCACGACGACGCCGTCGGTAACGACCACGACGGCGACGACGACGACGAAGACGACGACGACGACCACGACGACGGCGACGACGACGGCCACGACGACGACGATTTACGGCGATGACGACGACTACGACGGCGATCACGACGACGATGACGACCATGACGACGGCGACGACCACGACGGCGACGACGACGACCACGACGACGACGACTACCACGATGACGAGGACCGCGACGTCGACGACGATCACGATGACCACGACGACGACGGCACGACGACGACGACGACCATGACGATAGCGACCACGACGACCACGACGACGATGACGTTTACCGACAACGACGGCGGCGACCACGGCGTAGACGACGACGATGACCAAGATGACGACGGCGACGACCACGACGGCGACGACGACTACGACGACGACGACCACGACGACGACGACTACCACGACGACGAGGACCGCGACGACGACGACGATCACGATGACCACGACGACGACGGCACGACGACGACGACGACCATGACGATAGCGACCACGACGACCACGACGACGATGACGATTACTGACAACGACGGCGGCGACCACGACGTAGACGACGACGATGACCACGACGACGACGGCGACGACCACGACGGCGACGACGACTACGACGACGACCACGACGACGACCACGACGACGACGACCACGACGAAGACGACGACCACGACGACCACGATGACGACGACGACCACGACGACGACGACGATGACGACCACGACGACGACGAGGACCACGACGACGACGATAAACGACCGCGACGACGGCGATCACGGCGAAGACGACGACGACGACCACGGCGATGGCGACGTCGACGACGGTGACGACGACGACGCCGACGACGACGACCTCGACGACGACGACCATGACGACGACGACTACGACGACGACCACGACGGCGACGACGACGACGACCATGACGACGTCGACGACCACGACGACGACGACAACCATGACGACGACCACGACGACGGCGACGACGATGACGATGTCGACGACGACGATTTTGACGAGGATAACGACGGCCACGACGACGACGACGACCACGACTGTGACGACGACGACCACGACGACGACGACGACCACGACGACGACCACGACGCTGACGACGGAGACGACCACGACGGCGCCGACGACGACGACGACGATTTGACGACGATGACCACCACGACGACCATGCTGACACGATTTCGACGACCACGACGACGACGACAATCAACTGACGACGACGAATCCAGCACGATGACGACGACGACCTCGACGACGAATCGACGACGATCAATGACGATGACGACGAACCGACGATTAATGACGATGTCGACCACCACGACAACGACGACGACGACCACGACGACGACGAGGAGGACGACGAGGAGGAGGACGACGACGACAATACGACGACGCGTCCAGAACGATGACGACGACGAGTCGACGACGAATCTACGACGAAGCGGCGACGATTAATGACGATGTCAACGAATCGACGACGAGAAATGACGATCACGACGACGACGACGACAAAGAACACGTCGACGACGAATCGACGACAACCAACCGACGACGACAAATGCAGAACGATGACGACTAATCGACGACGAATAGACGACGATTAATGACGATGACGACGAATCTCGAGCACGATTAGACGACGACGGCGACGAGTCGAGGACGACGAAGGCGACGACGACGACGACGACGACGACGACGACGACGACGACGGTGCCGGCGGCGGCGACGACCAGGACGACCACGAGTCGAAGATGACGAAGGCATGAGTGGGACGACAAAGCAACCACGCTTTCATTCCCCAATCAGAGCTTGTCTCTGTAGGGGTCCTAGCGGATTAAAGGGTTAGGTGAGGTGCGTCGCCGATTTCGGTGGCCGGGCCAGGGTGCCCTGGTGCCCGGGTGCCCGGCGGTGCCCGGGTGCCCGGGTGGCCGGTGAGGTGCGTGGCCGATTTCGGTGGCCGGGCCCGGGTGCCCGGGGGTGCCCGGGTACCCGGGGGTGCCCAATAGCTCAGAAGTCCAATAGTCCAGTAGCCCTATAGCCTTATAGCCCTGTAGCCCTATAGCCGTATAGCCCTATAGCCCTGTAGCCCTATAGCCTTATATCCCTATAGCCCTAATAGCCTTATATCCCTATAGCCCTATAGCCCCATAGCCCATATAGCTCTATAGCCCCATAGCCCTATAGCCCTATGGCCCTATAGGTCACAGTAGCCCGAGAGCCCTATAGCCCGATAACCCTATAGCCCGATAGCCCATATAGCCCATATAGCCCTATAGCCCTATAGCCCTATAGCCTTACAGCACTGTGGGGCCCTATAACCCTATAGCCCTATAGAACAACAAATCTGTTTGTTTTTTTTTCTCCGGTCTCATTTTTTGGTCTCCGCCAGGATGACTGAAGCCGGCGAGGGGGATGTCAGCGTGCGCGTTTCGCCCCGCTCCGAAGAAGACGCCGAACTGTTGTAGCTCCACCGGGTGTAGCCCTCTTTGCACGGCCTCACGTGAACCTGAAGCCGCCAGCGCCGCCCAGGAAAACGCACGCCGTCTGAGCGGACCTCTCTCTCTCTTCCTCCCTCTGCGGCTGTTCCCCCGCTTCCTCCCCTCGTAGAGGCGCAGTTCGCCACGGTGCAGCCCGCCGCAGCTCCGACCGCGACGAGCCTTGTGCCCCTGCGGGCCGCAGGAGATCCTCGCCCCGTCCGCGTGCCGCCCCAGAGCGGCGCGCGGCCGGCCAGGCCAGCGGAGGCGGGCGGGCAGCCAGGGGGGCCAAGTCCTGGCTTCCCCCCCTGCGCTGGGAGGCAATCCCTGGCGCGCCTGTCTCCCAACACCCCCCCAAATTGCCCACGGTGCCTGCGTGACCCCTGTTCGGCGCGGCCTCCGTGTGGATCCTGCGGTCTTCGAGGGGGGAGGGGGGAGCACGGGGCATGGGTTGGCCCGCCGCCGAAGAGACAGGTCCCGGCAGCGCAAAGGGCAGCACACAAAGGCAGTGTGCTGCCGCCGTGGGTAGTACGCGGTATAGTAGAGGGGCGGACGCTCGGGCAGCCGTAGTATGATTTGGGCGAAGAGGGGGGGAGTTCGGCGGATGGAGGGGGGAACGCAATGGGGCACAGGCAATGATGAACTGCATCGCGAGGGAGGGCAGGGGGAAGGGATGATAGAGTCGGGAGGAGAGGGGCGAGGCTGAGGGGTGCGCGACTGCAGGGTGGAAGTGATGTCGGCCATCGCCGCCCTTGGAACGCTGACTCCCCCCGGTTCTTCCGTTGCCCCTTTCTTGTTTTTCTTCCCATTCGTTCTCGTCCCAGCATCTCGGCTGCTGCTATTGCTCGACCGCCCCGCCGGTTGCCCCTTTGTCCGTCTTCTCTTCTCTCTCGCGCTTCGCGCCTCCGATTTTCGGGTGCGTTCCTGTCCACATTTGTGTTCAACCATTTCCGTTCACATTTTGCCGACGTTGTGTCCACTTGTGTCAGGCTCGGCCAAAGAGGATAAGGGATGGCGGTGATCATGGTTGTGATGATGATGGTGGTGATGACGATGGGCGGCGATGATGACGATGAAGGTGACGACGACGATTGCGATGATGCTGATGATGGTGAGGATGGTGACAACGAGGAACTAGCTCGGGCAGAAGCGGGGAAGGGACGGAGGGAAGGATGCAACGGAACGGAAGGGAATCAGGTCGGATGGGGGCAGGGGACGGGAAGGAGGTTGATGTCCACCGTGCCCCTCCTTCCTCTCATTCTCCATTCCTCTTTCTCTCATTCTGCCCCCCGCACCCGGCGCTTTTTCGTGGTGCAGCCTGCCGCAGGATGGATCGCCTGTCTTCATGTGCCGTGACGCCAGCTACTGCAGGTCGCTCCTGCGAATCTTTTTTCTTCCTGTTATCGTGCGATTTCTTCGGTGCCCCCCATGTCGCTTCGGAGTTGGAGTCTCTGCCTGTTCCCGCTGCTGCTGCTGCCCCTCCTCCTCCTCCTCCTCCTCGTCCTCGTCCTCCTCCCCGTCCTCCTCCTCCTCCTCCTCCTTTAGCTCCTCCTCCTCCTCCTCCTTTAGCTCCTCTTCATCCTCCAGCTCCTCCTCCTCCTTTAGCTCTTCCTTCTTCTTCACTTCACCGTCTGTCCCTCTCCTCCCCTTCTCCCCCCCCTCTTCCTTCACATCGTGCTCCTCCTCCTCCTCCTGCTCCATTTCTCCTCCATTTCTCCTCTTCCATTCCTCCTCCATTCCTCCTCCTCCTCCACTCCTCCTCCATTCCTCCATTCCTCCATTCCTCCATTCCTCCATTTCTCTATTCTTCCTCCTCCTCCTCCACCTCCTCCCTTTTCCTTTCAGGCTGCTGCTGTGGCGTTGGCCCCGTTGAGCCGCGGTCCGGCGATCCAGGGGAGGGATCGGACGCGTGGGCTTGAGAGATCGGCGATTCCCTTTCCCAACTTACATGGGGAAACGGGGGCGGAGGAGGAGGAGGCGGAGGAGGAGGAGGAGGAGAAGGCGGAGGCGGAGGAGAATGAGGAGGAGGAGGAAAAAGAAGACGAATAATAATGATATTAATTATACTTCTGTTCTTATTGTTACTATGAAGAAGACGAAGAATAACACGAATAAACATAGGAACGAAGATAAGCACATTCAGGCTAATATTAATAATGGTAATACCAAATGTAATGGACATACTAATACCACTAATAGTAATTTATTATGAAGTGAAGCGCGCGGCATAATACTACTCATAATCAGAATACAAGACTAGTACGACTTGTATTAATGCCAGTATTATTAATCTTATTATAGACAATAAAACAATACCAAGCATACTACTACTACTAATGATAACTACAATACTACTCCTACTCCTACTCCTACTCCTACTCCTACTCCTACTCCTACTCCTCCTACTACTACTACTACTACGACTACTACGACTACGACTAATCCTAATCATTCTCATGGTAGTACTAGTAAGAATAGTACTATCAAGAACTTCGACACTAATCATAGTAATAATGTCTAGTATTAATAACAGTAATGCTACTGAAGATTATGATGCTCATAGTGGTAGTACCAGTACTCCTACTCATCACACTAATACTATTAATAATCAGGCGGCCCTCTTGCGGGGCCATCAGTCTGCGAAGATTAGGCTTACAGTTTCCAGTTTCCAGTTTCCACTGTTACAGTCCTGCTTTCTGCCTCCTTACTGGTAATTGTTGCTGAACGCGCGAGGGGGGGAGCCCAAAAGCGTGCTCGTTAGCGTTCCCGAATCGCGTTGTCTGAATTCCCAGGGGGTCGTGGGACACGTACAAATACATGATATTCGCGCCTCCGAGGCCATAATCCTTAATCAATTACGCCATCTTCGCGTCCCCGAGACCATAAACCTTCGTTCATTACACGATGTTCGCGTCCCCGAAGCCATAATCCTTTGTAAGTTACGCGATAATCGCGTCCCCGAAGCCATACACCATTGTAAATTACCCAATATTCGCGCCCCCGAAGCCACAAACCTTTTTGTAAGTTACGGAATACTCGCGCCCCCGAAGCCATACACCTTCGGAAATCAAGGAATATTCGCGTCGCCAGGGCCATCAACGTTTGTAAACTATACCATACTTGCGTCCCCGAGGCCACAAACCTTCTCACATTGCATAATATTCGCGTTCCCGAGGCCATGAACTTGAGTACATTGTATGCAGTATTCGCGCCCCCGAGGCCATACACCCTTGTACATTACGCAGTCTTTGCGTCTAATATTCGCGTCCTCGAAGCTGTAAACCACAGTAAACTATGTGATATTCTCGCCACCGAAGCCATAAACTTTCGTAAACTAGTAATCAGACATCCCAGCGTTCAGACATCCCAACACAGCTCTGGCAAGTCCCATTCTAAGAGAAGGGGGCCGGCGGCATGGGTAATACTACTACGACTGCGACTACGACTACGACGACAACGACGACGACTAGTAGTAGTAGTAGTAGTAGTAGTACTACTACTACTACTGCTACTACTGCTACTACAACTGCTACGTTTACTATTACCATTTCTGTCATTATCACTATTACTATTATTAGCATTACTACTACTACTACTACTACTACTACTACTACTACTACTACTACTACTACTACTACTTTTACTACTACTACTACTACTACTACTACTAGTACTAGTACTAGTACTACTAGTACTACTACGACTACTAGTACTACTAGTACTACTACGACTACGACTACTACTACTACTATTATTACTACTTTCATCACTACTACTACTACTACTACTACAACATCCCTCTACAACAACTACTAGCACTAGTACTAGTACTAGTACTAGTACTAGTCCTAGTCCTAGTCCTAGTACTAGTGCTAGTACTAGTAGTAATAGTACTAGTACTAGTAGTAGTAGTAGTAGTAGTAGTAGTAGTAGTAGTACTATTAGTACTACTACGACGACTACTACTACTACTACTGCTGCTACTACTACTATTACTGCTACTTACATTAATACTTATCCGTAAGGGCTTCGCCCCCTTCCGCCGGCCCCCTCTCTCGGAGAATGGGCCATGGAAGAGCTAAGTCATGAGGCCTTGGCGCTGTCGTGAAGCAGTATCGAAACTTCATGCGAAGCCGAGTCGCAATCAGCAAAACCAACTGATCACAAGAGGGGTTACCACACCTGGCGATTGGTAAGACGTGTATGGTTTAAGGGCTTGGTTACCACACCTTGCGATTAAAGGGCCGAGGGAGTTCTCGCAGTTTGGGTTACCACGCCTTGCGATGGATGTGCGTGATGGGTTCGAATTTCAGAAATGTGGCAAATCCCATGTGTTTTTGGACCCTGACCCCGCGGATCTGCGTGAGGGGTGGCACCGAATTTCAGAAATGTGGCAAATCCCCTGTGTTTTTGGACCCTGACCCCGCGGATCTGCGTGAGGGGTGGCACCGAATTTCAGAAATGTGGCAAATCCCTTGTGTTTTGGGACCCTGACCCCGCGGATCTGCGTGAGGGGTGGCACCGAATTTCAGAAATGTGGCAAATCCCTGTGTTTTTGGACCCTGACCCCGCGGATCTGCGTGAGGGGTGGCACCGAATTTCAGAAATGTAGCAAATCCCTTGTGTTTTTGGACCCTGACCCCGCGGATCTGCGTGAGGGGTGGCACCGAATTTCAGAAATGTGGCAAATCCCTGTGTTTTTGGACCCTGACCCCGCGGATCTGCGTAAGGGGTGGCACCGAATTTCAGAAATGTGGCAAATCCCTTGTGTTTTTGGACCCTGACCCCGCGGATCTGCGTGAGGGGTGGCACCGAATTTCAGAAATGTGGCAAATCCCTTGTGTGTTTTTGGACCCTGACCCCGCGGATCTGCGTGAGGGGTGTCGGTTTCGAGCCCCCCCAGCAATTCAGACAACGCGCCCAGGTGAGGCCAAAAGTCTTGTTTGGGCCTCCCCCCCCCTCGCGCGGTCAATCAACTAGTTACAGTAACCAGCAAGAAGTCAACTAGTTACAGTAACCAGCAAGAAGCAGAACTGTAACACTGGAAACTACAAGCTACAACTGGTACAGGGAACTGCGAATCACGCGCCTCGCAGCCTGGTGGCCCCACAAGGGAGCCGGCGGATAATAGCAACATCACTAGAACGTAATAAGACGAATGCGAATTAGGTTACCGAGGAAACCCACATACTTGTATTATGGCTGGAGTGGTGATTGCCTCCTCCTCCTCCTCCTTCTCTTCCTCGTCCTCTCCCCCTCGCCATTGATATACTCCTTCGCACCCCCTACGGTGTCGAGAAAGTGCTATCCTGCCTTGCCCTGGACAACCGGCTCGGATAGCGGCCGCGCTCAGGGACCCCCCCCTGCGCACCCCCCTACGGTGTCGGGAAATGCCACTCCTGCTATGCCCTGGACGACCGGCTCGGATAGCGGCCGCGCTCAGGGACCACCCCCTGCGCACCCCCTACGGTGTCGGGAAATGCCACTCCTGCTATGCCCTGGACGACCGGCTCGGATAGCGGCCGCGCTCAGGGACCACCCCGTGCGTACCCCCTACGGTGTCGGGAAATGCCACTCCTGCTATGCCCCACTGGACGACCGGCTCGGATAGCGGCCGCGCTCAGGGACCACCCCCTGCGCACCCCCTACGGTGTGCGGGACGAATGCGGCACTGCCTGGTGTATGCCACTGGACGACCGGCTCGGATAGCGGCCGCGCTCAGGCACCACCCCCTGCGCACCCCCTGCGGTGTCGGGAAATGCCACTCCTGCTATGCCCTGGACGACTGGCTCGGATAGCGGCCGCGCTCAGGGACCACCCTCTGAGCATCCCCTACGGTGTCATGAAATGCCACTCCTGCTATGCCCTGGGCGACCGGCTCGGATAGCGGCCGCGCTCAGGGACCACCCCGTGCGCACCCCGTACGGTGTCAGGAAATGCCACTCGTGCTATGCCCTGGACGACCGACTCGGATAGCGGCCGCGCTCAGAGACCACCCCGTGCGCACCCCCTACGGTGTCGGGAAATGCCACTCCTACTATGCCCTGGACGACGGGCTCGGATAGCGGCCGCGCTCAGGGACCACCCTCTGAGCATCCCCTACGGTGTCATGAAATGCCACTCCTGTTATGCCCTGGACGACCGGCTCGGATAGCGACCGCGCTCAGGGACCACCCCGTGCGCACCCCCTGCGGTGTCGGGAAATGCCACTCCTGTTATGCCCTGGACGACCGGCTCGGATAGCGGCCGCGCTCAGGGACCACCCCGTGCGCACCCCCTACGGTGTCGGGAAATGCCACTCCTGCTATGCCCTGGACGACCGGCTCGAATAGCGGCCGCGCTCGGGGACCACCCCGTGCGCATCCCCTACG